GTCAAGGTGAGGGCTGGGCTGAGGGCGGGTGGCTCTGAAAGGGAGTTGGGGGGAGGCTGGAGGGGGGATGTGGTTTGGTGCTTCCTACTCATGGTGCTACTCGTGGAACTTCCACGTTGGGCTGGAAAGCGTACTGTGAGCCTGATTCACTGTTGGGGTCTCCATGGTGTGACACAAAGCGAAGCCCCTTCCCACAGGCCATGGCACCAGCGGGAGCTGGCTTTGATGACGGCTCAGGAAGCGGGTGGCCCATGGTGTGAAGCAATGGGCTTTCCAGAGTCAAGTGACAGTGAGAGGCTGGGCTGTGGGCTGGGAAGGGCTGTTGTTAGGGCAGTGAAGGAAGGGCCACACTTGCCATGCAGCGTGACATAATGCAGCTGATGTTGGGGCTGCCAAGCTGCGTGAGGAGCTCGCTGCAGGAGTGACGTGACTCCTGAGTCCGATATAGGGCCACAAGTGATATAGCAGCTGTGTCGTGCTAATGATGGAGAATATCAATGGGAGAAAGGAGCTGGCATGACTTAGCTCAGTAGTGTGTAGAAAATAGGCGAAATGGAACATCTCCAGTGGTTACGTGGTGCAGTGAGGTGACATGGGTGTGGAGGAAGGAATGATGTAGCAGATGGCAGTGGCAGGAGCTGACAGGACATTCCGGAAGGCAATGAAGAAAGGCAGCAAGTTGGTCAGATGCACTGACCATAACTTGTTTGTTGATACTGAGATCCAGATTAAGTTTCACAAGAAAAGGATGTTTTTGATGTCAGTGCTGTCAGTTAACCACCGTCATCACGTAACTGAAGTAGCAACAGCATTGGTAAGATTCCACATCCAGTTGGATCATCTTAAGTGAAAACAGACTGAATTTGCAAAATTAACAGGATAGAAATGTGTAAACCAGCAGAATGTGCCTGTGTCAAATAATACAGTATGTTCAGAAGCATACAAAAGCCATTTGAAAGTAGGAAAATATTGTCTGCAAAACTAAAGCTTCAATAAAAGAGCTGTTATAAGCATTCTGTTCTGTCTTCTTCTCAAAATACTTTTTAAAATGTTTGGGTTCATTGTATGACTGGGCTTAGTTCTGCATATCTGTTCTTGTAGTTTTTTTGGTGCTTGCTGATCAGTTTTATTTTTCAAGTGTGACGTACTCTAAAAATGAGAGTTGGTGATAAATAGCACATGAGCCAGGAAAGACTATGCTAGAACTGGCTTGCATTGATTCTTGTTTGTGATTATATTGGCTGTAAGAATTTACTCTGGATACAGTTTCTTTTCAGTTTGGGGTTTCATTTAAGTCATTCTCATCTGTTTTCCACAGCAACCAAGACCTAGAACTATGTGCTATACCAGTGTTCTTGCTGGCGTGTTTGGGAAAGGTGTTACGTCTTGCTTCTGAAATAAGCATCTTGCTCGGCCTTTAAAATATCTTTATTTCTATTGCAAGTAAGCGTCAGAATAACCACAAGCGCCCAAGGGAGCACTCAACCTGCAGGAGGTCTTGACAGTCTCTGCAATGGAGCTGCTTACCAGCTGGTGCAAGTGATTTGCAAGGAAGTCGTGTGAGGGCATGTGTATTTAATTTGATACCTTGAGCCCTAGGTGTGAGATACTGTGTTACCTGTTCTGAGGCTAAATGTCAAGAACAGAGAAAACTGTATGGCAGAATATTCAGGCTATGGATTTGGGGATGGAAGGGGTTGTAAAAGGTTTTTTTCTTTTTAATAAGGAATTTGAATCTTGAGTAGAGAACTGTTGTCATGATACAACATATATTTTGGGATCTTGTAGTGGAGAATTTCAGAATGGTTCTTTGCTGGTTTCCCTAACTGCAGGAAAGAGATGAAAAAAGGTATAGAAAAGCTCTGAAACTTGGGATGGATGTTAACATGTCAGGATTCACTATTACATATGATGAATTCTCGTCTGCCTGAATTTCTTAAAGTATTATTTTAAAACAAGAACATGCAAATTACCTGAAGATTGTTTCTCCATTGGTTTCACTGTTCCTGAATCATCAACAAAATAGATGATGCACTGCAAACTGGTGCAGTATTGTCTTCAGTTACTCGCAAGTATACACATCTTCATAATGCCCTCAGTTGCCTCTCATAAATCACCTCAAGTTGAACTGATGTTTAAAGTAAATGAAGAAATGCAAATGCCTAACTTACTCTGATTTTATGTACTGTGTGACGTGTACCTAGCTACATGGCATTCCAAAATGTGTCTCATTATTAGATTTGTGAAAGATTCTGAGCACTAAAGTCACTGAATTATTTGGGCAGCATCAATTAAATTAGAAGTCATAATGCCCTAGCCGTCAGGATCCAATGTAAGGCAAACTGGGTTGAAAAAGCTGACTTAGATAAAATTGAGTGACCAGCTTACTGGAAGAATTCCGTAGAACTTGAACATAAACCCTGGACGATACATTGGAAATATTTAAAATGGTGGATTGTGCCAAGAGAAGGAACATACTGCAAATAAGACTTAGTTTATATTTAAGTTAGTTATTAGAAGGCAGAATCATCACCTAGAGCAAGACAGAAAAAGTGTGGTTATCCTCAGTGTCAAGTTGTTATGACATAGTAAATGTCTTTCTGTAGATGTGTAAACTCTTGACACAAGTTTCTTGATAATCAGATGGCAAAAATTTAGTTATGAACTGTATTTTTGAAGCTATACAGCCTTTTTTCCCAAAGAGTCCACCAAAAATATGTACAGGACACACTGTGAAGAGAAATGTTTCTTCATAATCTGTCCCAGAGGTGAGTTTTCTTTTCTATTAAATACGTGAATCAATTATTACTTTCATAAACCTCATGGATAATGTCGAGACGACCATTTCAAAAAACCAGTACTGGCACATAATACGTTGTTTGAGAAGTTAAAGTACAGTAAAGCTGGGCCTAATTCTTTTTCATGATGCTGTCTGAATTTTTTTCCTCCCTCTATGTTATTTTCATGTGTTCTGTTCCTTCCTTCCGCCAAAGGACATGCATATTTTCCACTCTCTTAATAAACAAGTTGATTTTCTGATGAGCCCTTGCAATGCACGGGGTGAAATTTGCTGAAAATCTGATTCCTGAATGTAGTTCTCTTACTGTTCAGAACCCTCTCACCTGCGGTACTTCTTTTTCTGCGCCAGCATTTTCCTCTTGAGATTTTTTTCATACTTTGCTTGCTTACTCAGTTTGAGCATTTGAAATATGCACTCTGCTGAAAAATTCACAACATGATTATTTCAGGTAGCAAATCATTCAGCTATTGCTTTTAAAATATTCTTCATCTTTCCATGTGATTTAGAAAAAGTCAGTGGAAGGTTCAAGTTGATGGCAAAAGATAATGAAAAAGATAGCATTTTTGTCAAATTGATTTATAAATAAACTTGCTTCCATAATTAAGCAGTAGTTGGAGTGTATCTGTAAGCTTGTTGTTCTTGTATTGGTCTACTAGAAAAAAAGAAATACCATCATCATTGTTTTGAGTATTTTTCCCCTCATAGCAGCCACTCTTAATGCAGGGACCTAAAGTTGGACTTCTCCTTGATTTACTTTTTTTCTTAAAGCTTTCTCACAGATTTGAACACTGACCTTCATATAATCAGGGAAAACAGTTTTAAATTTTAGTAGAGGATTTGGAAATAGTAGAACAGGATTTGAGGGAGAATATTTTGTGTGTAGGCTGTACGTGGCCTTTTGAGGAGGGGAAATCTTTGTGGTGATAGGTGTTTTACCTACATATATCCACAGAAGGATGTATTTATTTCACCCAGTTGTACTGCCTTGAAGGAACTGTGGTCTCATTGATGAAGGTTCGTCAATGGATTAGAGTATCTGTTCACTCAGGTGAAACAGTGGCTATATGGAGAATCTGAGTATTGAAATAGTTTGCTTTAAAGATCTAAGAAGGCCCAAACTAGAGAAACAAATGAAAGTTAAAAGTTTATCTATGGGAACAAAAGTGTTTGGTATTTACCTATCAAAAGTCCTGTATAGCCATTTCATTATTGTAGATTTGTTTTAAATTCTAACATACATAAAGACAAATGTACAGCAAGAATTTTATAACTTCTGTGTATTTGTAACTGCACTGACAAGGAAATGTGGAAATAAAATTAAATGGATCTTCTTGATGCTAGAGGAAAATTACAGTATGCATTATATGGCCTACTGGGATTTTGTTTTTGCCCAAACTGTCCAAAATATTTCTTAGACAGTCCTTAGTTTTTACTTTGCATTTTGAAAGACCTATTAAAACAAGGATTACCCACTGCTGTATTGTAAATATAAAATATTTTTCTATTTCCTCAAAACATACCAACACAGAAGCAGCTTGGACTGTTAGATATTGGTTGATGAAGCATTTCTATTTTGTGTTTGTTCAGCAGATTACAGTAAAATAACACATACAGGTGATTAAGTCACTTGAAAATGCTTGTGCACACTTTACTCTCTGTCTAAATGAGCAAAAGTGGAGGGGGCAGGGAGGGAAATAATTTTTTTTTTATTTAGGAATAAGACGTCAAACAATATGAAACACAAGAGCCAGGGAAGTTTCCAGCACTACCATTACCACTGCAGTAATTGCTATTAGCAATAAAAAAAGCAGAAAACCAGTCCCCTTTTATTTGTGTCACGCTATTGAATCTCGTTTTGCTGGTGGGTATATTTTTCACTATCTCACCAGAGGTATTCTGTAAGTATATTTTGAAGCTAATCTGTAAAAAAAAAATCAAAGGCACCTTTAAACACTTGGTAATATCAGAGTAGGTCTGTAAGTCAGTATGCCCAAGTGAAGGATATTGGGTTAAAAACTTCAGACATTCCAAAGCCATGGGAAAACTCGACTCGTGTGAGACTGGCAGAATGCTTCTCTTGTGGCCCTGTCAGATACCGAACCAGCAACTGACAGTAACTGAGCCATCTGTTTGATACGCATGGAGTGTTAGTTACTGCTGTTCCATATTATGTTTATCTGTGAATATCTGTGTATGACTTTTCATTGTAAGGGGTATTTTATTTTTTAGTAGTTTGAGAGGGAAATTGAAATAGTTCCCTCATCAGAGAGGCTGTTTTTCTTAATAAAAAAAAATGCAGTTTTTCATAAGAGTTTTTCCATTTATTGCCCAATAAATAGGGACCTGATGTGAAGATTAAAAAGCCTGTAATTTGCTGTCTTGTAGCAAGAACACAGAATGAAAAAAAAATAATCACAATTTATTATACTCGGCTAATAGAAACTGAAGTATAGCTGGTAATTTTAAATACTAATCTGAGTGTGTCTTGTTGCTCAGATTGAAAGTTGGGATGCTGAATAATAAATGTGCGCTTTTTTTAATGAAATGTTGGAGAGGTAATTTTATGATTAGAAAGGCCTCTGAAATGAGAATATGAATTTACCTACCACTAAATTTACAAAATAACAGAACCTAATTGGAGGCTGTCGTTGTTGGAGTCAAGCCTTTCAGAAACGTAGTGTATACTGTGATATTAAGCACAACTCGGAATTTTGCTCAGATGACTTGAATGAAGCACAGTTTTGGATGGTATAAAGTGTTCTGTGTGTTTCTACACTAAGAAGTTTTGTCAACATACACAGTTCGTGTTGGACTAGATGGTCGTTGTAGGTCCCTTCCAACTGGAACTATTCTAATTCTTTGGCCTGCATGCTGCCCTGTTGTTTTATAAAGCATTATTTACAATTGACAGATTATTTGAAGTGAGTGGTAATTCCCCATAAACAATATTCCATTCTTCCAAAATCATGTCTGAAAGCACATCTGCTTCACTTTCTTCTTTGGTTACAATTGCATTGCTTTTATACAGCTGTATCTTGGACCTAAAGTAGTTCCATAATCTGTTTTGCATCGTCAAGAGTAGCCTCCAGTTCAGTTGGGCATCATTACGTCCCATCATATGGACTATGCCTGCTAAACCTGTAGGTGCTTGAAAAAAGCAAAATGCACGTTTCCTATGTTTTCCACTTTTACCAGTTTCTATGTAGTAGAATGGGCTTTCTCCCAAGTCCCTCGTTGCCATCTGAGCTGTGTTACTGCCAATAGATGCAGAGCAGTGTGTTCAAAATAATGACTAGCAGGAGTGCAGCCGTCAGCAGTTTTCCCTCCTAGCTGCTAGACTGCAGCTTGAAATGGTGTTCCAAAAAGCAGATGGATGGCAAGAGAGCCGTAGGAATCCATTAGTTTGACCCCAGGTCTGACAACTCCAGCTTATTTTTCTGGTTTACAGTGTGCCCTTACGAAAGAAAAGAAAACAAACAATCTTCAGATACCTGGAGACTTTCACTCCACCAAGGGTATTTGACCAGAATGATTTACGGTTATTTTCTAAAAACTTCAGAGCTGTGCAGGAACAAGGATTCACAAGGAAAGTACCTTAAAGCCAGAATTAAAAAACCAATCAGAACATACTTGTTTAGGACACTTATACCTCTACAGTTTGAGATGGAAAAATGTATTGGAAAAAAAACAGAAACAAATCTGTGTGTGGGAGAGTACTTGAACTGAAATTCAGCTTTTCCCAATAAAACTGCTGTTGAGGATGCAGGCCAGTACCTTCTCAGTTGTGCTGCCCAGGAGTTGCAATTCCTGCGTGACTTAGCTGTCCGTGCCAGAAAGAGCCCTTTTTGTAGATGCTGTTGTGTGGACAATTCTGACCTCTTTTCAGTACAGCGTGTTTTACCTGCTCTGTTCTCTTTAATCCACTAGCCCAGAAGCATCAGCAAAACCAGTTTTGCCAGCATATGTTACAGCTACTCTAAATGTAGTTGAGTGATGTATTGTCAGAGTGTGTCAAGTGTTGAGGTGCTCTGAGCCAACAATAACTATGCATACCATAATGTCATGTTATAGAAATAGTCTGCTCTTTTGAGGTAGTAAGGGAGCACAGGATTACCACATTTATCTGGTAAGCCCCCCAAATGATCAGACTTGCTATAAATGTGCAATAGATCCATTTATTAGGCAGCGGAAGGTATACTGCATATGTCCCTCTTAACTATCCTAGTTGCAAAGGTTTGACATAGCTAATCTGGTCCTTTTTAATGTCATTTATTATGTTACTTCTTCCTCCTCCCCCAGCTACTGTTGTGTAGGATGGTGTTACCTTGAGACAGGGAAGGCGGGAACATTTTAATCAAAGTGTCAGTGAAAAATTACGAAGACTGTCCATTCCTAGGGTGGATTTTGTTGCATGTGAGCCTTCATTTCTCTCAATTCTTCAGTGGTACTTGTTGCAGATAGTTGCATATGTGTATTTTTTTCAGAGGTTTCTTGTTACGCTGGTGCCATGCATTATGTGGCCTCAGTTGTTTTCCAGTGGAGATTGCTTATCCTATAAATGTATTTAAGGTGAATTTAGTTTGTATTATTTCCATTTCGTATTCATTTAACAACTTTTTTTTTTTTTTAAACTAGCATATGCAGGCTTTGTTCAGCCTTGTAGTACAAGCACAGGTAGAAGTACCATTTGGCGGAAGACTTGCAGCACAGTTTATTACATAACTGAAAGAGAGCTCTACTGAGCAAGACCAACAAAAAACTAGTTTACAAAGCTTGGGAGATCTGACCTCATGGAAGAGTTCATGGATCCTCCCTGTATTTGGAACAATGCAATTGACATTTTCACTATTTGAAGTATATGCCAATTTATGCTTCATTGAGTAAGCTCTTCTTAGATATTTGAGGATACTACTGAAAAAAATGTAAACAGATAACATAAAATTTTCATTCATGACAGAATTGTTCTAAGCAGATGAATGTCTGTTTCTTCTAGATGGTTTGTATAGTAGCCATTTTTGTATAAACAAAGATAGATGCCAAACAAAAGCCTATGTATTTCACTAACACAACCTAGTAAGCCTAGAAGGAGTAGGTGGGAAGAAGGTAAACAGAAGGAAAATTTGCCTCTGCACTTCAGCTATAGAAAAGAGCCAAGATTTTGTTACAGTTTTACCTTGCAAACTCCGTGATTGTGGTCATTATTGTCAACTTTTCTCTAGGAGTTTTTATGGGTGGAGTTAATTTAATTATGTTTGGGTGGATTGGTATAGGTTGAAATATCTGATCACAGTTGGCTGCAGGCATAGTCAGGGTTTGAAAATTTTAGTTTTTCTAGTATGCTGAATTAAAGAATAAAACTGTGTTGTTTTTTTTTTTGCCAACCTTGGAATACTGGTAGCAGTTTCTTTGGCCAACAGGAAATTTCTTTGATATGTGTCTCTTGATAGGTGTCTGTACAGCATTCATGTTTGTTAGGTTACAATAGGAAGTATTTTTGCTTTCTTATGAATGTCCTGAGACTACATCTCAGCTTTGGAAAGTTGTTTTAAGTAGTGTTTTCTGGACAAATTTATATTTTTTCTGTTGTTTTGCTCAAATGTAGCAAGCTAAACTACATTGCAGCATAATTTTTGTCTATTTTATGTACAGCACTGGCTATTTAATAACGATCTGAATAGAAGGTGAAGAGTTCTTGTTTTTAAGTAAATGGCTATTAAGTTAGTTTCAGGTAAGCTTATGTTTCTAATCAGGCTGTTGATAAGTTGGTACTGGTATCACACTGTGTCCTGTACGCAAAGCAAATGCAAGAAAGAAAAATAAGCTGTTGAATCTCTTTAAAGGATATTCATGCTGTGCTGAGTTCAAGAATACATTCTAAACTCAAAGAATTTTAGACAGGAAAATCTTTAATAGCATAGGCAGCAGGAAATTAGTAGGGAATTTAAAATTCATTATGAGGATGAATGTTTCTGAAAGTATTTGATATTACAGTTGGCTTTAATTCTGTATCATATTGTTCCACATCTGTTGTGATTTTTGAGTTTTGTAGTCTTATGCTGCTACTTTTGTTTTTCTTGTTCAAAAATTTTCATACCTCTAAGAGAAGAAAGATTCTGTGAAGCCAATGATTTTATCTGCATCCTGTCCCAAGATATTAATTTTCTTATTTATCATCCTGAGTGGGCATGTGCAGCTCCTGTGCTGGAATGTACAATCCACGCTAAAGTCCATACTGAAGCATTTTTGTAGTTTACTGAGGCCTGAACGTGCCTGTATGGGTTTCATTTACCTCCAGTAGATTTGTTGTGTGCCTGGGAGATCTGTCAAAAGTAGAAAGATCCATATGTTAATCATGGTATAGAATGTGCAAGAGTAAATAGCTGTTTTGTGTTTTTCTCATAGAAAGTGATGGAAAAAATGTTTAATATAGTAGAGATGACTAATAAAATATGGTAAGGACCTGGAAAATTTTAGTTTAGTGAATTGCTTTCTTTTATTAATAAGCTAGTACTAGTAGTCTTTTTAAGGCATGAACTGCTGAATACTCAGAAGAGATTCAGATGTAGAAAATTATAGTGAAATTCAAGTCCTTATTTCCATTAAATTTCCCATGATTCTTTTTCATGGTCTTTAAATTTGAGCACCTGTGCACCTTGGCCTTATTGTCAAGACTGCTCACATACTTCTATTTATTGTGTGCTTTTCATCTACCTTGTTTTTCGTTCTTTTCCATTTCCCTATCTGCAGTTTACTATAGACAGTGTCTTTAAACATTTTCATTGTTTTAGTCCTCTGTGAGGAAAGCTAAACTGTTATGAGTTAATCTTCTCAAACAGATACATTGGTTTGCTTGAACTTCCAAGTGTCTAGTTTGAAATAATCAAAGTTGTCTTTACTCACGTTCGTATGTTCTGCCTAGCTTATTTAGCAGGTAAGTTCATCTTTCTTCTGTTTGCAGGAGATGAATGGAGTTCTAAAGAACATGCTTTCAGAGTGGTTCTCGACAGGATTCCTGAACTTGGAACGGGTCACTTGGCAATCACCTTGTGAAGTACTCCAGAAAATTAGTGAGTAAGTGCTAGTAGTTACTAACCCTCGTTGATGAAAAGGTGATGAAATGCTTGTGACTGCACAGATCCACTATTTTCAAGATACTGCTTTTTGATACTGAACCATAGGCAAAGTGTAATGAAGGAGTAGTTGCATTTAATGCACTAAAGAGCACACTTTAAAAACTGAATTAAGTAGATGGTGAAGGGGATCATTTGTCCCATAATTTGATTCTTTAGGTCACATACTGCACTTGTAGACTGCTGTCTTTTCTCCTAACCTTCTCAGTTACTCTTCCCATATTCCCAAAGGTGCTGCTGTTACTTTTCCTACAAACTCAGATTCTTGCAGCACTGCCTTCTTGCACTCCCTTTCCTCCTACAGGTGCTGCTGCAACTGCTGCCTCCATCACAACTGCCACCTTCTTCTCCCCTCAGTCTACACCAGCAATGTTGGTGGAGAATTAATATTTAAGTCTGATGCAGCATGGGGTGCCCAACACTCAAGAGCGTGTTTTACTTCTAATGTAGTAAGGCTCCCCTTCCTGGCTGGAACTGGTGAGATGCACAGAATCACTTGTAAACTATATGTGAAGAGAGCACCTTTTTTTAAATAAACATTTCTTAAAATCTACGACATTTATTTCTGAATTTCTGTCAAATATTCAAAGTTGTAGTGACGAAGTTGAAGATGACTGAATCAAAGTTACATTGTATAAGATCTTTTTTCTTTGCCACATTTAAGTCATGTACTTTCAGAATTCTAGAGATACATTTTCCTTCAAGCATTTTGTATGACAAAATGCCACACGAGCTGAAGTTTCAAAATAAAAATAATTAGTAGTATTTTACTTAATCTTCTAGGTATTTTGGCAAACACACTGGACTTTCAATATGTAATAAAGTGTATTTTTAATGATTGCTTGAAAACATGGCTGTAGGAGTGCTAACAGACTATGTAGCGTGGGAAAACTAATTCCTCAGAGGTGTGTTCAGACTCATTTAGTGAGTTAGTCATCTCAATCGGATATCCTATACTGAATAGAAAGTGCAAGTGAAATCCCAGATACGTAATAAGCATGTCCCAAAGAAAACTAGAGAGTGAGTATGCAAGAATTTTACAATCTAGTTTGTCACAGTTTGCTGATGACTTTTACTTTTTTCACTTGCAGCTTGATTCTCCTTTTTTGACTGGAGAGTTTTGTCACTGACATAAATGGGAAAAGTATTGAGCATGTAGGGTTGACAGCTAAGCTCTATTTTTATATGAAAAAAATATAATTTTACTTTTTTTTATTTTCTCAATGAGTTCTGAAGCTGTGCATCCTGTTAGAAACTGGGTTGATATGAAGCGTCGAGTTGGGTCTTATAGAAGATGCTACTTTTTTTCTCACTGTGCAATCCCAGGAGAACCATTGATAGTCTTGCATGTTGCACTAACCAGTGATATCTCCAGCAGCATCCAGGTACAGTCGCTGATGCATTTTATACGCAGTAAAGTGCTCAAATTGCAATGTACTTCTTTCAAAATCTGTAATTCCTTTTAATTTGGGAATATTTGTTTCATTTTTGAAGAGGTGAGAGAATTGGCACTTACACAAGATATCCCTGTAATTTTTATCTCCTACATTATGTAAGTTGAAATTTTGGGGTTTTGCTCAAATGCAAGAAGAATAAGAAAAGATAAGAAAAATGTAAGAAAAGGTAGGATATGAGATTAAAACTTCAAAGCAGTTGTGATTACTTCTGAAAATTTTAAACTACGTTACAATTGTTTCCTGCACTTGCTAATGGTTAAGCAGCTCTTCTTCCTACTTTTTGATTAGATTTTTGTTGTTTCTCTCAGAGGGTAATGAATAAAACAGTGGGGAAAAGTGTTAACGCATTTGAAAGAAAGGCCCCCTCCCCCATAACGATGATAATAACTACTACTAATTCTTTTTTGTTATTCTTCTTTTCCCAGGCCATAGTGAAAGAAGTGCCACCTTTAGAAACAGAAGATACAGACAAAATTACAACAGCAATTTTCTACTCAATCAGTTTGACTCAGCAGGGGCTGCAAGGTGTGGAACTCGGGACTTACCTCATCAAGCGGGTTGTAAAAGAGCTGCAGGTAGGTGTGGCAGCATGTGCTTAAGATGCCGTTTGGCCAATGTGCTCCCCTTTACATTGCTGGTTCAGCTTCCATTTTGTGTCGTTGCTCAAGGCAAGGAGCTGATACGTCTTCCCCTACACTTGTAGCTTCTTACTGGATCAACCTTTGAAGATGTGTAAAGAGTTGGAAGAGCATTTTCTGCTATTGATTAATGTCTGCCAGATGTAGATACTGTTACATATTTGCCATGTACCGTCTGAATTACTTTTGTTTGCCTAATCATGTGCATAGGTTGCCTAAAAGTCAAATTAGTACATTTCTGTTGAAGGTAGCTTTAATATAGCTGTATTTTGCAATGTGGTCTGTTGTATGATTCACTACTGTCTCGCAGTTGAGTGGGTGGAGCTTGCTAACAGGCTCCCTTCCAGGCCCCTAATCAACATTTTCTCTTTTTCAATATACCTGACTGTTCCTTTTTCAAAATCTTATAGCTGCTCCAGTAACAAAAGTACTTTCTGTACATTAATTAACTCGTTTTCTTGTTTGTTATATTGAATTGCCACTGGTTATGAATGCAGTTTGCATGCTTGCCATGAATATATCTATTTAGAAAAAAAGGAGAGAGATTTCTTTGCCTAGACAAAGGGCAATATAGTAAAGAAAATGTCTTTAACATTTGAAAGTCACAGGAATCAGTTACTTTATTCAAGTTAGATCTATGAATGTATATAATATCATTGCATGCAATGGGATTATTGTTAATAGTTTTAAGACTTCTTGTAGAACCATCTTCCAAGCAACTGGAGAAAGGAATGAAAATTCATGAATTTATATAGAGTGGTGTAAAAGAGACAGTCACATTTCTGTGTTGAGTACATAATTTTATTTAATAGTCTTTACTATTTAAATTATTAACAAAACTACCACTTAAATGTAATGATCACTACTTGTATTTATATTAATTGTTCCAATGTCTGGATTAGTAATGATGTCTGGAAAATTGTCTGTGATTTAGAACTTCAGTTCTACTTACAAAAACAACTTTAAAATTGGATGCACCGAATTTCTACTAACATAAAATGATTGATTAGTCAACTACTGAATCATAGCTGCCTGCCCTGAAGTTTTTTATTTTATTTTATTTTTAATGGATATTTTGGCTGAATTTTGTTGCTTCTTGCTTTTGGAGTGGCTTTTATATTAATTGTCTAAAGTGCAGTAGTCCAGGTATAATTAGGCCATGCCATCTGTCTGATCTTGACTGAGGGGAAACTGGAATAAATTCATGCAGTTATCTGCTTTCACATCTGAAAAATAATTTCTGGATAATTGAGTTGCTCTCATAAAATAACCCTATTGACAATGTATTTGTACATCACTAATTGCTTGCAACACTGGAAAAGTTGTGAGTCAGTTACAGAGGAAAATAGACATACTGTGCTTTGATAACCTACATGCAAGTTCTAAAGTGTTCTAAAAATGGAAAAATGTGTTTCTTTCTTATACTTACGACGAAGTTTCTACATTTCGATGTTGTAAAATCCAGCCCTTCTTCAGTGTTCATCAAACACATGATGAATAGGAAACACTTTGACTGAGTTGCCTTTAAATACATTCTAATCATAAAATCATTGCCTCAAGCTTAAATAACTTATTTAATATTGAAAGCTAAGTGCTTTCCATACAATGCCCTACTTAAATTTCCTACGCTGCTTTAAGATGTTATGAAAAATGTGCTGTTACTAGTAAGGTTTTACATGGCAAATTAGACATGTACTTAGTTGACTATGAACTTGTTGCAAAACTTGAACTGCCTATTTATATTTATTTTATATCTATATATTAAAGGTACAACAAAACAACCTCCAAGTATTGCCTCTACACCATTCCTTTTCTTGATGATAAACCTTGTTGGGATACCACTTTAGGGCTAAAAAAGATACGAAGGATAATCCAGGAGTTTTTATCCATGATGGATGTGGTTCTCTAATAGTTTTTCTTTCACTCTGATGTTGTTATTTTTTTTTCCTCTTCTTCCCACTTTCTTCCTACTCCTTCATACTTTCTTCCTCTTCATTCCAAAGTATTGCTCTTGAATTTGTTGTCTTGAATTCTGCAAGAACTATCTCCCATTACATGTTCTCCATCTGTGAAGTGAACCTAAATACTATTGTTACCAGAATTATCTGATGCACTTCTATAATGTCTGCTCATTCAGCTTTTGTTGTAAATGTTGTGACTCCCTCGGTGGACTTCACCTTTCAGTGGAGAGAAGCCCTGTGTATTTCAGCTTCAACATACTTACACTGTGAAATTAGGTTGTTCAGGGCAAAGGCAGGGTGTATGATGGGTAAGACTCTTGGCAGCCTGTTTTACCTGTCTCCCAAAATTTTGGAAGTCCTGCTTCAGTGCATTAATTGCCTACATGTGTTCTCTTTCTTTCTGGTCAGGTGTAAGCAAAGGACTTTCCAAGGTTGTCTGTATTCAGATTGGACATAATTCTTTGGAGCAGCATTATAGTCACTTACTTTAAAGGGGACAAATGGTATACTGGGAGTGCTGAGTTGACTTGGTGACAGCAACTGAAACAATATAGCCTCAGCAAAAAAATCTTGGGTCAAAAATTACATCTCATTAAGTAAGCTTCCAGCAGCCTTTGTAAAAATAGATTGTTGAGGTCTCTAATAGGAAGAGGATTTTTATATAACCTTTGAATGACTTTGCAATAAACAAATCTTTATTTAAAGTGCTGCTAAATCACCAAGTGTTCCAGGTTACAAAAACTGAGACTCTCTTTAACTGAAAATAAAATGCTTTGGGTAGAGGAGATCATTTGAAGGAGTTAAGGATTTTGTTTTTCATTGTATTTGAATCATTGATGATTAATACGCTTCATAACTTTTATAGCTTTATAACTTTTGTGGACATCTGTTTGATCTGCAGAATGTTACTTGATTCGTATTTTCCCAAGGCACAGCAAACTCTTAAAACTTTTTTTATCCTTTAGCAAAAACCTTTATCTAACTTTGCCTTAACTTAACCTACTCTGACACTTCTGCTTGTAAGTGCCATTGTAACCTCAAAGCTGAATTCTCAGCTGTCATTCTCCGTAAGGAAAACTTCAAATTGGACCTGTCATGAATATGTATCATTAGATCAGAAAAAGCCATGCAGGAAGTTAGGAATATGCTAATAGCCACTCTTTTTTTCCACCATTGAAGCCTTTATTTGGCAATATTTTTGAAAACTAGGCTGAAAGATTGATTTAGCAGGTATCTACGCTATAAAGTTCTATCTATAAATGCAGCTAGTACCAGATTCCTTAAAATCTTATTAATGGACTATTAAGATAGAGCTTAATTTTTTAGAAATCTTGCTAGTTTGCCTGAACTGGTCACATACACTGCTAAACATGAACACGTGTAGGGTAGCACTTCTCACCTTCAAAGAATATGAAGTACAGATTCCGTCATGAAAGTATTTCTTGCAAATGGGGTTTTATTAGGACTGTTAGGAAAACTGCAGCAGTAGAGGCTCCAGCGAAGTTACAACCCTCAGTGTTAAGCACTCTTAGTCTGAGGCGCTGCATAGAAGTGGCCCCTGCTTTTGAGTCTTTTACTAATTTAAGCAGATGGAGGATGTATGAAGTTGAGTCACAGAAATGGGTCCTCACTTTTGTCTCTTTATATGTGCACGGTTAGCAGTTTGAATCCTTAATCTCCACCTAAACATTATGATTTGGCGTTTGCCACAGGTATTGTAATATAATTGGGTAAAGGGGAGGGATATAATGGAGATCAGAACAGGACCTTAGGGATGTAGCTTGTGTTGCATACAAAGGGCATCCTGGGAGAAAGAACGTTGCTCTCAACAGGAGATTTTTCTTTTTCTTCGGTAGTTGCTTGACAAAAGCTTGCTACACAAATAATACAGAAGGGTTTTGTAAACAGACTTCTATTGTTATCTGAGCATCTCCTGTTTGGATTATTTTGGATAAGCAGTGGGATGAATTCATTAGTCCCCTGATACCACTTTGGTCCCAGTTCTCCCTGTACAAATCTGAGAATAGGCTATGTATGCATTCCATGTAGTCTCTTGGTTATATTGATGTATATAAAGCAGGAAGCAGACAACAGAAATAATCTCTTGCATTTCTTAAATTTAAGCTTGTATTGTTCCCAGAAATGAATTGGATTTTGAAACAATTCAGACAACTAGTAAGAAGACAAACAAACCCCAAATTGGGTGCTGGAAAACAAGCAGGCAGATGCATTTCTAGCAAGCTGATAGGTGCTGGTAGATGTGTAGACAGAGAGATTTCTCATTAGACAGACATCTAATTCAGAATGTGTTTATAGCCACTCTGAATGGTCTGTAGCTCTGCAGAAGGTACATCATAGCAATTCAGTCTGCAGATGACAGACACAGAGAACTGTGGTGAAACCTTTGAGAAAACTTAGAATTTTATAGCCTGTGGCATTTGGGGGAGCAAACTGATAGCTACTATGTGACTCAATAGAATGCTTAACAATTGGTGACAGATTTTAGCTTGCTGGTTGGGCTGTTGCTGATTGCTACCTTAATTTGATCTAGGTGACCTGGGGAGATTATAATTTCCAAAACAGGCTTTGCATTCATTGATGAAAAATGTGACCTTGGACTACAGCTTTCAGAGCACAAGACAGTTTCAGATGAGACATAGATAATAGAAGTTTGTGCTCTTCTTCAATGAAAAAAAAAACCCCAAGCTAAAAGACAACCAAAACCAGAAATCTCCCCCAAAACAAAACGAACAGCAGTTTATTAGTGGTGTGTGGGTTTCTGACAAGAAAATAAACATAGCCAATAGCCTTAGAAACTACCATATCAATTTAGCATCAACATAAATGTGCACGCTTCACTGCATCTATTTAGTTTTCTACAAGAAATGGCTGCCTCACATAAGCTCCTAAACTGAAATGTTTATCAGATATGTAGTAGTCTGTACCGTAGCTTCAAAATGGGGTCACTTTCTCATGTCTTATCTGTCCTAAGAAGTGAAAAATATGCACAATTTCCCATTTTGTATTTATTAATAGAGTAGGAGCTACTAACTTCCTGATAAATATTTTGCGTTGAGCGTGGTGAACAGGTCACTCCTGAATGTGAATGATAAACAAGGAACAGTCAACATCACAAGGAAGCAAAATGTCAGTTACTTAATTAGGAACTTTTCAGGGATTATTATTAATACACAAATATGGGAAGACATCATTCATTCTCACTTTTGTCCTTGTGGATGGTGCATAGGTACCCTCTCGGCTTTGCAGGCTGGGAGATGAGGTTGGAATTGTTACACTGTGGAAGCAATGGGCATGGCTTAGCTCCTGTGTGAAAAGCTCTGTTTATTAGCTCTCTTCAATAGTGAAATAGTATTTTCAGACACTGTGCTTTCTTAGCAGAGATGGTGCAGGAGACTTCCAGACTTGACTTTGTGGTAAGCAGCCTTTTTTCTTGGTAAAATCAGTTTTTCCTTTTACCTGAAAGAAGAGTTTCTACTTCTCAAATTTCAACATTACCTTCCTTCTTGCCCTCTCAGGTTTTAACCCCAAGTATCTGTGAACAGTTCATGAAAGAGACCTAAGCAATATGTTCTCAAAGGCAGTATCTTTTACAGGATGAGTAATATAGCAGGCAAAAAAGGAAGACCTTTAAGGAATGTAATCCCATCTTCAGATCAAAAAGAAACACATCCTGTATTCCTTTATTCCTTGTGTCTCTTCCTAAAGGAAAATAGCCTCTAACAACCTTTTTCTCCCCCCCCTCCCCGCTTTTTTTTCCCCCTCTTTTTTACCCCCACTGCACAATAGTAACATCTGTGCTTTGTCGAGCAGCACATCTGGGATTTCTCATTGATAGGTCATTGATTTGAAAACTTTTATCGATTTATCCCTGTCTCTTGTTCTCTGTGTTATGGACTAAAGAGGAACTTTAAAGCACAACAGCAATGAAGACATAGAAGAATGAAAGACCATTTTGAAATCTAGGCTCTTTTGGGGGGAGCTTGGTGCTGCTTAAGCATGCTGAAGTGAAAAGGGTACTTCTCATTGTAAATTACAGGTTTGTGCTTCTGTACTTTAAGGTTCATTTGCAGGTCTACCTATCCTAGACAGTTGCTGAGTTGTCATCATTATTGTGTGGACAGGCAGAAGGGTACTGGGTCATTGGATCTTCAGAAGGGAGTTGTGGCCCTGCCTCTGGGCAGAAATTCATCTAGTCGCAGTAAGAGCTGACACGCAAAAGGTCAAATTATTTGAGAGTAGACTATCTCAGCAGCTAAGCTATGGTCAGTCACAGTAGAGTCACCACTGGTCAGCTTTCAGTGTGCTGATGAAGAAATGAAGGTAGCAAGTGATGCTGCTCATTATCGTCTTGGCAAAACTGAAAACTAGGAGCTTTTTCTCCAGGAGCAAGTATCTTGAAGTATTTTTTTCAGTGGCCTTTAAAAATTCACTTCCGTGCCATCTTTCTGTGTCCTCCTTCTCCAGGAGATCTGTGGTTTTGTGCTGGTGCTGTTGCCTTTGATGGGAGCTAGTACTGGATCAAGGCAAGTGTGGCTGACAAGGGGGCATCTGAGCATAACTCTCCTCTGCCATACTCATTAAGATCCTGCTGCTTCAAAGAAAAGTGAATTCCAGATGTCATGATTAGATATGCTTATTGGTTGAGAAGCACTACAAGGAGGTGGATGAAAGGTGACCAAAGGAAGATTTAGTGAGTGCATTTGATTCTGTATTCGGATTTTGGGAAGGGAAGGATTTTTTAGATCTGTAGAGTTGCTATGTTCTGTTCTCATTTTTGCTCTTTTTCTGCCCCCCATTTTTTTTTTTTTTCCAATTTACTGTGGTCATTGCTCTCTTTTTCAAAAGCAGAGGGGAAATTTTTCTAAAAAGGCTGAACCGTCTACTGCAAGAAAGATTATTTTAATTAAAACATATTTTTTATATCCATGCCTCTTGTAGCCATGGTCCACAGTAAAAGCACAACCCTAATAAGCTATTTTGTTTTATAAATGCTGTATTCTCTAAAACTGTACAACAGGGTGCTACGATATCAGCAGAAATTGCCTTCCACAGACATCTCTTTCCATAGATTTACAAAGAATATTTTTTCTCTTGTGAAATGCATATGCAATGAAACCCAATAGTTACTTGTATTTCACAGATCTTGTTACAGACTTAACGCTTCTAAATTACTCTTAAAAATAAATATCATCATATCCTTTAGTGGAGACTAGAAAAAGTCACAGGAGATCAACGCTTTACTGGTATTGTACTATCTGACCATGGTAGCTATAGCAGTTGAGAATATGACACAATCAGGATCTCCGGGGTGCTCTGATTACAAATATGGTTGTTTTGTTCAATAAGGTACAGAAATTAGTGGTTTTATAGACTAATTTGTTGGTTTTGTTATCCAGTTCTCTAAGGAGATGAAATGGGGTGGTGTTTCTTTGTAACTTGGTCTGCCTTTCTTGTTCCCAGCTGGTCCCAAAAGAAGAATTCTTTGGCTTATATATCTGTGTAATAGTCAAAGAACTTCACATAAGGGGAGCAAGTGAGGTTATCTGGTTTATGCAATTAGAAGTCACAAACCTGAAGAGGTGGTAGATTTGAGCTGGCTGGTGTCTCGTAGTGCCAGAAGCCAGCAGAACAGCAGTAAGTTATTTGGGAAGCTCTGTGTGGGAAGGAAAAAGATGTTGTAAATAACCAGCCGAATATTATTCCAGTTATCGGAGTTAATAGAAATGGTGCTTGGCTCCAGTCTGTAACGGAGGGGTGCCAGGCCTGTGCTCCCTGGCTTCTGCATCCTCATGAAACAGAATGCAGATGGCAGCGTTGTGTGGAGCACAGCAGTACATGAGGATGCAACAGCGCAGGTGTAGTTCAAACAACCTAGCAGCATGCGTTCCATTAACATTTGCTAGTGCAAGGTAGCATCTGAGCGATGATGACTTTTTAATGGTTATCTCAGTAATACTCAAAGTAGAAAAAATGCATTTTGTAGTCATTTAAAGACAATTTTCTGTTGACGTTAAGATGCTTCTGCAATGTTGATAAATGTCTTGGTTCTTACCACTTCTTCCTATATGAACAGTAATTAAAACAACACTGTGGTTGTTTCAGTTCAACTCTGTCTTCCTTCTGTTCCTTGTCTCCCTACTCCATCAGCAGGATTCACTGATGTAATTTTTGTTAATTCCAAGTGACGATGAGTTTAACAACCTTCTCTATTCTTCACGGTGTGCCCCAAAACTAACACACAGTTTTTCTTATATGTTTTGCTTTACATGATTACATGGTTAACAGTTTTTACTCATAGATTAGTAGGAGTAGAGAAGTAGTTTTGTTTTGTTAAACTGTGTGATTAATTTTTTTACTGCAAGTATGTATTTCTTATCTTGCTATTTTATCAATGTAGTTTATAGTTTGGGGATAGCATGAAAAGTAGCTGGCCTGTGTAAAGAAGCTATTTAAAAACTTCAGGAAATGCTGCTTTCCATTAAAATCTAGAAATCTTACCTCTCCCGATTTTACAATAGACTGAAATAATAAACTGCCCTTGATTTAAAAAAAGATGATTACATTTGAAAAATAAATGATATTTAAAAGATTTTGAAAACTTGCATATTTATTTTTTAAAAAAATTACATTCCTCAGAATAACTTCTTTATGGTGTGCGGTTCTATTTGTTTGTTTCTGCCTGTAAAATGATATACCAGAAGGTAGTGTTGCTAAGTGTTGGCGTAAGTACTTTGATATAGGTTGGGTGTGTGGACTGTAATTCAGTCAATGTTAAAATTTTCTTCGTGCTCCAAGTGCTTTCCAGTCACTAACCTATTACCGGCAGGGTGTGTTTGTTTTTTTTCCCATCTACGAATATCAGTTAATTCTCAGAATCCCTAGTTTCACCTGACATCAAGTAAAGGGTATCAGCTGTTCTTTCACTCAAACTTCTCATTGTCAATCATGACAAAACTCATGAATGTTTTTTCTCTCCTTTTGTCTGCAGAAAGAACTTCCTCAGATAAAAGCTTTTTCTACTCTCTCACCTATCCCAGGATTCACAAAATGGCTTGTTGGTCTCCTCTCCTCACAAACAAAAGAACTGGAAAGAAATGAACTTTTTACAGAATCGGAAAGGCAAGAAATCTCCAAGATCACAGGAGACTCTACTACTGAAACACTAAAGAAACTCTTAAATAACAATGAGTGGATGAGATCAGAAAAATTAGTTAAAGTGCTCCATTCACCATTTATGAGACTCTGTGCCTGGTATTTGTATGGAGAGAAACATCGTGGCTATGCTCTTAACCCAGTAGCAAATTTTCATCTTCAGAATGGCTCTGTGATGTGGCGGATAAACTGGATGGCGGACACAAGCCCTCGGGGCATTGCTGCTTCTTGTGGCATGATGGTAAACTACCGGTATTTCTTAGAGGATACAGCCAATAATAGTGCAGCGTACCTGGGGACTAAACAAATTAAAGCCTCAGAGCAGGTTCTTTCCTTGGTGTCTCAATTCCAGCAAAATAGCAAGCTTTAATGAAATATTATGAAAACTAAGAACAAGTTTTACCTCCACTGTAAAGAGCTGTAGTATTTTGCAGTGTCTATGTTTAAATGAGAATGTCCCTTGTAAAACAAATTTACTCAGCACAGTACGGTGCAAAGTTACCTAGATTATTAGTTGTCTTTCTTACGTTGCCATATATTCAAAATCTAATTGGCTGTGATTGAGTCACTGCCAGTTCTAGACATCTGTTATGTGCAAGTGGGTTGGAGGTGTGTATTAAAGGGTGGGTAAATTCTCTCCATCAGTTACAACTCTGTGAAAATACTTGAGCTGTACCGTTATTCTGTTGGTAATAAACCTGTATAAACTGTGTCTTTGAAAGGAGCTGAACTTCTTTGTCATAATACTGCTATACATAGTTCAGTACCAAGGTACCTGGAAAGGAGGACTGAATGAAGGTAAATTTTTGGTCAAGTATATTAGCAAAACTGTAATCTACAATTTTATTTCAAGAGTATCTGTCTTTTTCATCCTCAAAATCTCTCATGTAGAGCCTCTATTTTCTTTTTTCAAACACACTAAAAATCTCACTGAATCCTTGCTTTGCTGGAGCATGGAAAAGCCTTGCACTAATGTTGCTGAAAAATCAGGATCTCTCAGTGCAGCCGGTATGTAGTATTATATTTGCACTTTTGTATGCTAAAATATAATGAGCAAGAAGGAAATATTCAAATAGGAGAGGGGATTAGGAGAGACTGATACTTAGGGATCAGTTGAGAAATTTCCAAATATGTGTATTATACTTTGGCTCTCCTAATTTTTTAAGTTGATAAAGAGCTTTTTTAATAAAGAGGTAGGTGTGACCTGTAAACCAATAAAATAAAATTTCTCCATAAATCAAGTCTTGTCTATTTCAGCGTGTACTTTCCTTCACTTAACAGCCCTCGTGGATAACAGCATCACCACAGCAGAAGGACCATCTTAACAGAATTTCATGCTGTTTTGTAATTTCTGATTTGTTCCGTGTCTGGTCAAATTCCAGTCTTGTTTTCAAGAAAAGAATTATACAGAGGAATTGAAAGTGATAGAGTTCCTGTTCATGTATGAAAACAGAAATGAAGAAAGCTGTAAGTGTCCAATTAGCCTTTCTCCTAGAATTGAAATTACATAATTGGATACACTTTTTTCATATTCATTATTAGAAAAAAGTCCCATCCTCCAAGCTGGTAACTTATAACGAGAATCTATTATACATATCTTCCAAGCGGAGAAAATCTTGATTTAACTTCTGTTCGTGGTAGATTTTGCAACACTGATAGTTAAAGGAGGGGGTACCTTCACTGCCTGTTACTCCCTTGAGAGCAAAGACTTTTTTTTACAGCAGCTGGTCATCAATGGCAGTGATGCCATGTTAGCAGTGGTGACTCTTCCATGCCATGTTGCCTTCATTATGTTTTTAAGAATAGTTGCAAAAAAGGGGCATCCTATTTAGTCAACAGTTTTCTCATACATCAACAGGTTAAAGTTAGTTTATTGATTTTGATCAGATACGATTTAAAAAAAAAGTCCTGTCATCCCCTTGCAATGAAAAATTGTCCAGCAATTTTTCAGTGGCCAAAACCACTAAAGAAAAGTTGAGTTCCCCTTAAGTTGTGGTGGTGGCATTCTGGTGCATATACCAAGGGGCAGTATGGTGTAAGCCAAAATATAAGTTGTTTTGGGGGTTTTTTGTGCATCTTCTCTGGATAGCTTGCTGAATGTTCACTAAGAAACACTGTAAAAGCGTAAAGAAATATGAAGATTATTTGATAATCCTTTCTCTATTCTCAACTAAGGAGCTAAGGACTAAGGATCAAACGCTCGAAGTGTTAGAAACTTTTAGTGAGAGACTTTGAACAACCAACTCTGTCCTGGCCAACCTGAGGAAATAACTTCAGAGTGATTCTCAATTTTTGCTTTTGGGTAAGTAGTTGTGGTAGCTTCATATGGAAGGTGTTAAAGTCTATGTTCATCCTCAAGAAATACTGAAAGTTGATCACAGGTATGGAACAATTGCATGTCCAGAGATGACTTAGGGCTGGAAGAGACAGGGGTTGAAGGCAGCTGAACAATTGGAGTCAAATCCAATTATCTTTTGGATTAATTAAGACATGCCTTCTCCTGGCATGGCATGATTACATGAAGAACCTGGTTGCCACTTCTATTCCAAACCCCACATTTTAAAGGAATTATGATGGTTTTATTAAAGTTCCATCTGAAGTTTGTTATGCAAGTTTTAGACCTGGAACATGAACATCAGGGAGTACACACTGTGTGTACATATATATATATTTAGCACCCTGTGTGACAAGCTTGCTAAAAAGTAGCTATCTATAGTTTAGATTATCAGATGCATTTCAGAGTATCAGACTGAAGAAACAACTCACACATTGCTTTTTCTTTTCTATGTAGCAGGTGCATTTTGTTAGTCAGGTTTTTATACAGAGACTTTGGGTGAACATATGCACATACTGTATTGGTACAGAAATTTTCACCATATGAATTACTACAGGACACACTACTTCTGTGCTTAACAGTGGTCAGAAAATGGCTTCATTCTTCTGTTTGGTTTTCTAAGCTTTGTGAACTGCTTTAGAATTCAAGTTTCAAGCTGAAATTTAGCTGCATATTTAAATGTGTACAAGCCATTCTTGGCTGGGAGGAATAGAGAAAAGAGAACCCTCTCTCTTTGTTATGTTAAGCTCTTCAAGTTTGAGGAAACAATGCCACTTACTTCAATTGAAAGAGTTCTGAAAATGCAATGATTTTGAAAGATGTTTTTATTTTGAAACAGGAGGAACTATGAGAGCAATTAAACATGCATCCACCTGGCCATAGTTCAAAAAGAGCTAATGCTGCTGCTTTATTGCAGATGGAAATACAACATAATCTTATATTCTTAACAGCTGGACTCAAAGGATAATGAGTTTTTTCCACTTGTAGCCCCAAAGAAATGTATGAGAATTGGTTCCATGACATGAAGTGATAGTAGCTTATAAGGAAGCAAAAACAAAGCTGCTAACAGTTTGTTAACACTTAATTGTCTAGCAGTGCTTAGATTTTCCAGCATGCTACTAAAGAGTGATTTTAGCATGAATGATGCTGAAAAGAAAAAAGAAAATTATTGACCATCTGTACTACTTACTAGGACAATAACTATGTCTCTCGAGAGGGATCATACTCTGTCAAAATGAGTCTTCACAACTCAGAAGTCCAGTTTCTTTTTCTCCCCCTTAGTATGTAAAAATTGTTAGCCCATTTCTGAAGAGCATCCGTGTAATGTTAAAGAAGAGGTAACTGCCTGTCCTTTAAGGAAGCTGAAATACTGAAAGTTCTCAAAGTCATTGCTTCCTGTTACTATAGTGATGTGTTTCAAACAGTGTATTTTAAGATTAATTTAGGGTATGTAATATTGCAGTGTGTTTCACTTTAAAATGCCAAGGCTGAAATCATGCGTAAATTTTCCCTTCATTCTTTGGATAAAAAGCCAGTAAATATTTTCCCATTTTTCTGAACGGCTTCTCAGGTGATTTCATTTCATTTCATAGCGAATACTGCGGTATTGCTAGCGATTGAGAAGTCTTGCAGCCGTGTGTGGGTCATGTCACAAAGCTTGCCACACTGCATTGTGAGCTCTGAACTGTCCTGCATGAAAGCTGTCGTGGTACATCACAACAGATGGACATCAGGTCCGTGCCACAGCCCTTCCCCTTACCAGCCTGAATATTAGAGGCTTCTTGGGACGTACCTCTTGGGATTCGACTGCTTTGCAACTATTATATTAGCAAAAGTATCCCTGTAGTTATTGAGGCTTAAGCTGTTAGAAGCTGTTATTGATAGCTCTAGAATAATATGCAAAGGTATGTCTTATGGGTAGAAAACTGGCATTAATAAAAGGGCAATAGCTTAAAATTTATCACTTCTTCCGTTGTTTGGTTCTAAGATGAGGCATAGTAAAGACTGAGAATTACTTGGTAAAGTGACAGCTTTCTACTACTGGCTTACATCTACTTTTCAGCAGCCTTCACAGTTCTAAATTTATTCTAGGATCTGAAGAGGGCGAAATGTGAGTTGCTGGGTAGGGGACAGCGGTTTTGAGTGATGGTTTTTAACCAGTACTACTGAAATGAACATGACGCTTTAGGTCATGATGTAACACTGAGGCAGTAAGCAGCAGTACAAAATGTGAAGTATCTGGACCATTACATAGGACTATAGCCTGTAGGACTTGACTTTTAAGTCAGAGTTTAGTTCAGCTCTTAAAGCATTGGGAGGAAGCATACCATGTTCAAGTCAGGGGCTGCTTTGTGTTCTACCATCATTTATTTTCTCGGCTGCTGTACTCAGTGCAGTCGGTAGCAAACGAAATATTCCTAAGTTACAGTGCCATTTGTTCCTCAGAGAAACACACCTGACTGCAACTCCTGCTAGAAGCCCCTCCACAATGAAGTAATGTGATTGCCTAGTTAAAAACATAGGTTTTGCCAGTAGGCTTTGCCAACACTCTTGCCCTTCAACCTGCATCCCGGACTTTTTCAGGACGCCTTCCGTTACCATGTGTCTAGAAAGAAAAAGTGACTGGTTTCAGCAGCTCACTTCCTCAGTAAGCAATGGTAGCTGCTGTGCTGTTAGGTGCAGCATAGAAAAGCATCACAGTTTCACAGCTGCATCCCGCTTTTGAGAGTAAATCAATAGAAATGATGTTACTTTGTCACTTATGCTTCTTTTATGATCAACTTACACCATTTTTCTTGTCACAGGAGTAGGTTCTCTCTTTGTATTTGTCACTTATGCTTCTTTTATGATCAACTTACACCATTTTTCTTGTTGCAGGAGTAGGTTCTCTCTTTGTACGAGTTGTGTGGAGTTGAGTAGGACCTGTGTTCTAACATGTGCCCTGGATGGGTAATGAGAGGCCAAAATATTTCTTGAATGGAGGATGTTCAGTTTATTTGCAGATGCTGAGCCATCACAACATCCTGTTAAAAGCAAGGAGTGCGTGCTTCATGAATCAGACAAACTTTCCACATATATCACTGTAGTTTGTTTTAGTTATTGACGGTCATAACCTACAAAACATGCCTCCTGTGGTCTCCTTGTGGAAATGAGTACAAAGGTTTATTAAACCAGATAGAGGAAGATAATGGTAGTCTA